AACATTGGACTGTGGTATACGAAACATGCAGCCAAGATAGCTGCCAGTGATGAGTAAGTATTGATACCTTGATACCTTGATTCCGTCTTCGGGATGAGAGGTAATCCTGTGGTGATCCCGATCTCGACTTCATGCTCTCCCAGTATTTGTCTAGGTTCGTCTTGAACTCATTTACTGACTCTGAGTCAATTACGGCCTGTGGTAGACTGTTCCAATCCCTAATGACCCGGACGCTAAATGACTGTCGTCAAACTCTTCCCTTGGCCAAAGGGACCTCCAGTTTGCAACTGTGCCCTCTTGTTGATCCTTCTGTTCGCTTCTTGAAGAAGGATTCGAGTTGGATTCCCTCCAGCCCTCTTGCTAGTTTGAATACCTGTATCATGTCTCCTCTGCGCCTCCTATACTGTAGGGAGGGAAGACCTAAGGTCTTCAGTCTCTCCTGGTAGGGTAGATCCCTGAGATTCAGAGGGAGTTTGGTATTACAGTGATGCTGATCTGTCTTAGTACCTAAAGTCTCTTACGTTTATTATAATTTATACAGGTTCAAAGTTTTCTGTTCACAAACTGTACATGACCTAAATGGACGCCATATTTTACACAACACACATATAGTTTTCATGACAATATTATGAACATGAAGTATCTTTTGCTGACACGATTTGACGCTTGATGTGTGACATCCTTTCACAGAGTATCTATGGATGAAGCAAAAGAAGTGCACAAATGTCTGAGGACAGCAGCAGGCATCTTTAAGAACCTGAAGGTAGGATTACATTAGGTTGTGTCTTAATTGTAGGGTGTGAATCATGGTTATTTGCATGAGAACTTTTCCAAATAGTCAACACTTGCTGAATGAGGAGATTTCCTATGTTCATATTGCTGTAATTTTGTAGGAACAAGTTATTGGGAGACTTCTGGAGACAGCAGAGAAGGGCACAGACCTGGATCCAAAAGTTGTAGAATCCTACTTCCAACAGTCAACAGCAGAAGCACAGGAAGGTGGGCAAATTGAACGCCATTAACTTGTTTGAATTCTACAAGTCTGACATGGGTTGTTTGACCCCAGATATCTGCAAGGTTATTTCTGGTGAAAATATGTTCATTTAACTAAATATTAAGATATTTGTATTTATCAAGTACTTGTCAGGTTGTGAATATCTACAGTGTGGGAAAGTTGGTAGTTTACTGTTACAATTGAATTGTTATTAAGTCAGCAGCAAAACAGTAGGTCTTGACTGTAATGTCTTGCCTGATGTTATGTAGTGGCCCTAGCACGAGCTGTGGAGATGAAGCACAGTGCTGGCCTCATCTCATCACTGGCTTATGAAACAGCTCAACTCTTCATCACTGCAGGTACATCATGCAATAGGGCTGCGTACCTAAACGCAACATCAGGTATAGGTACAGGTACCGGTACAGAGGTTTAGGTACAGGTCCGGACCTGTACCTGTACCTGAACAATTTGACAAATTAACACGTGTTCTTCACTTTTTCAATCATGACGCAGAAACAATAATAAAGTGTTGACAACTTGTCAGTATCTTCCAATCACAACCCTGGATCAGCCACACTCTCGCGATGTCTCGTGAGACTGAGGATCTCAAATCAATCGACGGTGTTTACGTCTTTTCTAGTGCTAATTTTTCGTCTTTGTGGTAGGATTTACCTATCTTTAGTCATATACATGGTGTAAACTAGCTATTTCGGTATATACTCGTTACTTCATGATCCGGTATTTTGGACCTGTACCGAAACGATTTTTACGGTATTGGACCGGTACAGTGTACCGGTCCGCAGCCCTATCATGCAACATGTTCAACACTTCAATTTCAAACTGTACATGTAGGTAATGTTACTGCAAGCCGCAAACCAGACCCATCTTTTAAATGTGTCTTAATGCAATGCAATAGTGTAGTTTTATTTGCTTTTGAACAGTTTTTGTAGATGATACTTATCTCCCTGTTCATACCAACAGTAGGCAACTACACACCTGCTCAAAATCTCAGACGCATCAGCATAGCTATTTTGGTTTTGTCATTGACAATTTTAATCAATCATCCTTGATGATACCAACAGGAGGTTCACTAGACCAACTTGATGCAGCAAGTGTTGGAAAGTGGCAGAAGTATCTACAGCTGAAGGGTGTATTTTACTTGGCTCATGTAAGTCCAACATTCTGTTTATGTACCAGCAGAAAACTCACAGGTTCAGGAATACTGATCCATTAGGTTTTTGTGAACTGTCTTGTATCTGTAAATACTAGTACATGTATCACTGCACTGAATGTATTTTCCACTGTGTGGAATGAAGTACTTAAACTATGAGATCTGCAGATAGGCTTTTCACATGTTAGCCTTAATTCATTATTTGGCTATTTAGCAAAATAGGTTCTTCTATTCTGCTTTTTAGTTTTTCAGTTTTGACTCAACCAAACCTTCAGTTTAAAAAAAAAGGTCCATTACATGTATTACAATTGTTTTGATCGAATGAAGATACAAATATTTTTTTAACTTCAAGTGCCTATTATGAACTTTTCAGGCACACTGTTATAATGGAGATGCACTGTTGGCAAAGGATAAATGTGGAGATGCAATCAGAGCCTTGCAGGAAAGTGAAAAGTGTGAGTAGACCCTTCATCATCATCACCCCCTTTTTCATATACTGGTACAATGACAAGAGAACTAGTGGAATTTGTTAGTCTGTTATAAAATTGTAGCTACCATGACATCTACCTGGTGATTATTTAAGGCAGAATGGACACGCCAATTGTAAATAGAACATAACCTCTTAATTGCCTGTTGTAGTGTTTGAAAAAGCTGACAGCTTGTGCAAGGAGTATGCATCTGCCAAAGGTCCAGGGACATCTGCCAGACCAGACCAGCATGTCTTCTTCCAAAGACTGGGGAAACAGGTGAAAATTACTCTGGACAAGTGCACAAGGGAAAACGGCTTCATGTAAGTAATGCTTCTTTGTCAAGGTCTTGCTTCAACAAGGCTTTCATGCATGCAGCAAGGCTTTTGTGCATGGGGCCTCAAGCAGTTTAGTGACAGTATGTGCCACCAAAGGTGCCACTAACGTTGTTTGGAGGAACATGTTAATGCAATATGATTGTTTGTTAAAGAAATAAGAATGTGAAACTGTTTTTTTTTTTTTAAATTAAAGTTAGAACATGTGTGTAGCAAAGAGACAGAGGTGACACGACGGTGGCATCAGTATGTTTTTTGCACACAGCTCATGTAGTGCATGATCCCTTGTCTTGTAGATACTTCCAGAAGGTTCCTCCTGAGGTCCCAGAGCTGGAGAAGAAGGCCACATATGGTCTTGCCAACCCAGAGGAGTTCCAGTTGCCTCCGCCAAACCCAATGTGGAGTGCTGACATCTACAATGCATTTGACCTGTCACAGGCACCTGCTGCACAAAAGGTGGGACCCCTACAGTATTCCTCATTTCTGCATGAATTGGCCAGTTCTCTTTCTGGAGTTTAGCAGAAACATGTTTTCCTTGTTTCTTTGGGTGGTATGTTAGAAACTAAAGACTGTCGTCCCCTACTATTTTACAGGCTGAGAAGGAACCAGAAGTCAAACCTGTGAAGGAATCAGACATCTATCAGTCTACCAAGGAGCCTGGAACCTTCAGTGGATGTGTGATCTCCTAAGGTTGCCTTCCTGTGGATTAAAATTTGTAAAAATGTGTACAATACAAGGAATTGTTTTGAGCATTTGGGTGTATTTCACATTACTAAATAAACTACATTTTGTATCTTGGAAATGTCTTGCCTCAATATGGAATGTTGTCTTAAGGGTGCCCCAATTTTAGTTAGCATTAAGCATTTTTTATCTTGAAAATTATTGAATGATTCAAATGTAAGTAATCACAAATGTTTTGTATCTGCATTGCTAAATACATACGCAGTCTGACACAAGGAAATTGCTTCCGTCAATTTTGTACTAAAATTGCAGATGTTTAATGGTAATATTAATTTGTTGGTTTGCTTAACAACCTAACAGGAAGTTTTCAGGGCTCTTCATTGTTTATTTGGAAAGGCGTTCTTACCCCTAGTTGAGAACATATGTTATTCTTAAGAAATACAAATGTAGGTAGTGAAACATTCAAAGTACATGAACAAAATGTACGTAAGACCTGTCCTGACGCAGGTCTGGAGGGGAAGAAAGCAAAAGGCTATCATGTACCTGTTGATAATTTGTAAATGTAACCTGTTACATCGTATACAGTAGTTGTTCTTTTGAATGGATTAATCTGTTTTGCAGTAGTACTGCATGCCACCCCTCTACTGAAAGATATCTACTGCGCATGCCACGATAGTATGCAACCTGTGAAGCCGAAATTAAATTTCAAGCAGCCAATTTTTCAGGGGAAAAAGAACAAGCTTGAGATGACATGTTTTACATTTTTCTACTGAAAGAAAACAATTCTCGCTTGAATCAGTAACGTTACATACATTGTATACTTTACCTAGAACTCAAAATGTATAAGTATCTATCGTAAATATATGTATATCTGCTGACATGTACATTGTATATTAATAATACAACCTAGAGGTAGAGATAGTATACCATAGTCAAGTTGCGGTGGCTTTTAGTTATGTCAAAGTTGTATAGCCAAACGTATACATGTATGTTTGTATATGCATATCCCTTGTAAAGTGGACAGGGGACAAGTCCCCAGAGGATGATAAAGCTACAACTGACAGTCCTGTTCAGTCTAGTAAATAAGTACTAATATGGATGACTTTTAATCAATTACATGTATAGAGGTGGTTCCTTGACCAATTTTATTATTTGTGTTGTTTTCCAGCTTTTTTATATAAGCCTGATTGCCTTGCATTTTGAATACAGGAGTGTCATAAACGATGGCTTCAGTATTTCACCTACATAATACACATAGACATGTTTTACTGTTTTTATAATTATATCTTGGTCTTACAGTAATCAAATTATGTAGGTATGGTTTGGCAATTGTCATAGATAGGTAAAATACCTGTAACTTTAAGTAACAATATAGCAGAACTTAACCTGCTGTTCAACATTCAGCCATGAAAGCCACTTTGAAGAACACATACGTAAAGCGTAGACGGGCCGCTCTAATTCAACGCAAAGCGTAATTGGCGCATTTTGTGTAGAGCGTATTTGCCGTTTTAATTCTACGTAATGCGTTGTAGCCACTTGGAATTTATAGTAAAACGTAATCGTGAGGTTTCCTGAATTCGGCGTAATACGTAGCCGGCTCTCAAAATTTAGTATAGAGCGTTATCAGGACCCCCCCATGCAGGCCCCCATTGATTTTCATTAATGATTTACTAGTACTTGAAATTATTTAAATTCTTCAAAGGAATTTTTGGCAATCAGATGCATCCTGCATGTGAATTTAGTGATTTGATGGACACATATGTCAATATTGAACTACTGTATAGCAAGATCAGTCAATAAATTTGCAATGCCCTGCAAAGTTGCCATTTGATTGATTTATTGGTTGGTTCCTCTTATGTTGTGATCTAGGTGTAGTTACTTGCACATCATTTGTTATGGTCATCAAAATTAGAATCAATATGTAAGTCTAACTAAGAAGAAATTGGGTAGCCTGGATGCTAGACCCATAACTTTGGTCCTAGTGTGCTATGGGTCTGCCATCCAGGCTAGAAATTGGGAGGCTGATACAAAGGCAGGAAAATATTTTTGATCCCCCCATCCAGACTGTCCAAATGGAATAACCCAACACCATTCCTGTCCTCAATGCCCCAGTGAATTGACCTATATATTCAACAAATCTGCCCCATGTTTAGTCTAAATGTAGGTTTAACCTCAAATGGGTTAAATTAACACCCATTTTCAGTCACAGATAACTGGTTTGATCTCCCCTCTGCTCTTTGTCTTCACCAGGCAGTCCTATTAAATCCGACTCATTGAGAAAATGACTAAATATGTCCCAATCAAATACCAAATTCTGGTATTTCACTATTGCTACATAAACAAAATATCCCTTCCTCAATTTAGAATCCACTACTCATGAGATGCTTTGCCCTGCTTCATTATGGAAAACAATTTAGAACAGTCGAATCCTAATTATGATATCCAGTTACTCAGTAGATCAATCCGTACCCAATTACTAATCCTTCTGTCTCCAACTGTTGACCTTGCCAGCTGCCCTTGATTCTAAATCTTTATGATACTGACTGCAACCAGAAAAGGGCATCTTTGACGATCTTGGCCAAGCCTGACTTTATCCTTGACAAAACAATAACCTTCTGTTGAAATCTGATCTGTCTGTTTTTCCAGCCATGCTTCCTGCTGTTAGGACACATCTGGGAATGGCCAAGGAAACCCCTAAACCATGGTCTGTGGCAGACTTGATGAGAAACACATTCCTGGGAAGTTTTACAGGGTTCAGAAGGTTAGGTAGGAGTCAGGCAGGAATCAGTGCAACATGGCCTCCCTGGTTCGTGGTGCTGTGGTCCTGACTCTGCTGTTGAGTGGTGTGACTGCTCAAATTATTGAAGAGGATGCTATTGCACTGCCAGAGGATCCATACTTTGGCAGCATTGATGATCCATATGTTGATCCAGTAGAGGAATATCCCCCTGGTGAGGAATACCCTCCCTACGATGACTACAGTGACCTGGTGGTGACTGTACCTCCACTCCAGCCCACCCCTCCACCCAGACGTCCAGCCCCTCGGCCTGATCCTCAACCACCTGCACAGGTCCCTGCACCTGACCCTGGCTACAACTATGGTTCCGAAGACTATTACGACGGATACAGCTATGAGCGGCAGATTGAAGAGGACCAAAGAAGAGAAAGGATGTACCAAATAGAGTTCCAGCTGAGAGAGGCCTTGGCAGAACTAAGACTCCTGAAATCTCAACACTCAACAACTAGGCTAGTGGTGCAAAATATCAACACCAAACTTTTTTCTGGTATGTATATCATCTTTAAATGGATATATAACTGATCATACAGAACATCTAGTTCCAGATTTAGCTAAATGTTAGTTCAAGGCCTGCTTGGTCAACATTAAAACTGTCTGGAAGTTGTGCATACTGTATTTCCTTCATCATGCATACATGTCATGACCATCACATTAACACCATGACCTCTGTGCATGCCAAGAGTAAGACTACCTTGGGCTGAGTCAGACAAGGTCAGTGACCCATATGGGTCTGAAAGGTTTTGTTTTGAATTTTGTCCTTCCTTCTGTTATACTGTATCTGAAAATATTCTAATTTGCTGACAGAATACATGTACATGGATTTGTCGTCTTTGAGTTTGAGGCTGTATGATGTAGTTGTCCAAGTCCCAATGCATTTGATGCCAAGTCCATTGATGCCAAGTTTGCAGTTTCTCACAAATCTTGGCAAATTGGTATATGTGCAGTAATGGCTCAGATCCCATATACATGCATGCCAACTTCAATTTATGGGGGCCAACAACGAGGACGTTGTGCCAAAAGTCAGGCACATGTCAGAGTGTGGCTTTTGCACTGTAGTGACAACAGTTTTAATAGCATGGTTTTACTGTTGGGTGAGACCTAGGGACCATCTTGGTAAGTCTGCATCTACATGTACATGTAAAGGGAAGAAGCAGCTGGATGCTACCCACTACTCACCAGTATAAAGAACAAAAGTACATGTATGTTGTGTGGTGAATCCTGCCTGAAGTTATGATCATTTGTTGCATGGTCCTGATATTAGACAATTACTTTATCTTAGATAACGTTAAAGAAGAAAAAAATGTAACAAATGTAACAAACACATGTGCATGTTGAATATCTTTTTCTTTTCATTCAAGATATGCTTCCCAGCATGAATGAAAAAATCAATGACTTTGGGAGGAGGGCAGACAAGGGTGTAACAGATATTGCAAGGTAAGTTTTCTTTCAAAACGTATTTTCCCTTCTTCCTTGTCAATAGCATTCAAGGGTGATTGATTGGTACTAGTCATTTAAATTGGATGATGTAGCTGTACAAACATAGCCTTGGTGCCATCTTCTGTAGTTACTGACAGCTTCCTGTTGTTGCTATACACTAGTACAAACACCCTGGCATAACTTAGTTCATACTCTTTGTGATGTTAACTTAATGCAAGACCACTCTACATTTGGAGATGTTTGAGATGACCTCCATTTTACATGTACCCTCGGTCCTTTCAAAGATACAACCAGCGGCTGACAGAGATTGAGCAAGGCATGGAGGAGAACAAACTACTTGGAGCCACTGTCACATCTATGGAGCAGAAGACCAACAGGCTGGACAACATGATCAACGAACATGACAACAAGCTGCTGAGGATGGAGAACACCTACAAGGGCACCATCGCCCGCCTGGAGACACGCATGTCACAGGTGGAGAGTAACACAGGTAAGGATGCTTGTCACTAACGTCTGGTGCTGTCACTGCAGCTGAAGAGCTTTCTTGTATAAATGCCACATTATGGGTAACACAAGAATGAGCTCCTGAAGGTCATGTTTATCAGCTACCAGAATGCCTATAAATCAGATTCTAGTTACAATGGCTATATGAAACAGGTGGCTCACCTTTAACATGTTCCAAAGTTCATGGTGGCACAGGGACCACACATTGGCACAGACTTCCTAAAATAAACAGACCATGTACACATGTAGCAACTGCAGGGGTGTATCAATGTCTACTCCCTCCTAGGTTATGTGTGAAGTCCTGGTCTACATGTTAATCAGTTCCATGTGTCCCCCTCTACCCAGCTGACCAAGTGTATAACCTGGAGGAGTCTGTACTGGGGCTGGAGAAGGAGGTGAAGAAACTGGCTGCTCGGCCTGAGAGGGAGGACCAGGCAGCCAGGATAGCTCAGGTAACATCCTCACTATGGCCTGTCAAATGATGAGCAGTGGACAGTAATTTTTTTGGATGATATCAAAACTAAGACCTGCTCTGTCATCAGAAAACTGGCTTTAGCAAGTGTTGCAGGTTGGGATGTTAATATTTAATTCAGAAAGATAAAAATACCTGTAGTAGACTGTGCCATCAAAGTTTGTGTAGTGTGTTCTGGTATCCTCTGCATGAAGACCTTACACATGTTGTAATTTGACATTATTTGTTTCTTTGGTTTTACAGCTGAAAAGAGAGCTGTTTGACACAAACAACAAGGCCACCTACTTGGAGAGGCAGATCAGCAGCAATGACAGGGACATTGCACAAACTGATCAGAAAGTGAAAGAAGTTCTGAGGATGATGCAATACCAAGAGTAAGAGTATTTAGAGTTCAGTTATAACTAAGATAACTGATCACCACCACAAAACTCATAGTTAAGTCAATATAATATAGCAGATTTAAGAAGCGTCACATCATAAATGTGTTTTTTTAACAAACAATTTATGCAGAATTACATATTATCATATACATTGTAACTGTATGGTTTGTACCTGTGTTGATCCTGGTGTGTGCATTAGTTCTCAGCAGCAGTCTCGTGGTGCTCCCCTGTCCATACAAGATGACTACATCAACAAGGTGTCCCAACTGGAGCAGCAGTTCACCCAGGACAGAAGCAGGTCTGTTATGGTTTATCTTGTCCTCCTCACATAATGACTAGTAATTGTTGTATCATGGTGATTTTCTACCTCCATGGTTGTATAGATGTGATGTACAGGCTTTGTTGGGGAAATGGTATGACTTCTCCAAACCACATCATTGTACACTTTAAGTATCATACTCCATCTTAGGCCACTTCAATTTAAATTGTTGGTTCTCAGATTTTTTCAGAAAAAAAAGGAAGCGACAGGGCAAAAAAAAATAAAAACAGACCAAGGCATCCTATGATAGCCCCAAATGGCATGATAGGAGCCATGAAGTCAACATACCAGGCTACTAGTAGTTTGTAATTCAAACATTAAATTTCAAACCTTTACTCAAACCACTGCATTAATAGATGGAAAAACTGTAACAACTCTGAAGAGAAGGGACCTCCTTTAACCGTTGGGACCAAAATATGAGCATTTTGGAGTTGATTCAGAGGCTGAAATGTTTGTTTGTTTTTTCAAATCAGAAAAAAAAGAAGCGGGCAAATCTGTGAACCAACAAATTACTAGTAAATTGGTGTGGCCTTAGGTGGCAATTCTAGCTGGAACAATCATAGCACTAGCTTTTACCAAGTGTAATCAACACTAATGTAATGCTTGTTTCAAATCATTGATCTGATTTTCTTCAGGGTTACATCCTTGGATGAAAGATGTAACATCCTGGAGCGGCAGCTGGGTGCCTACACACAAGCCTTTAATCAGATTAAAACCAAGGGCTGCTGTGACGACCTGGATGTAACATCACTGCCTTCTGGGATCCCAACAGGTTAACATGTTTTTACTCCCTTACATATAAACTGATAAATATCTACCCTGGTATTTCAATGAAGCAAACCAAGCAAGTAGGAACACACTGAAGTATTTGTGTATTACCAGTACATCATGACATGATAGTTAAGCGGAACAACTTTGCTCCCTGAGTTAGAATGAAAGCCAGAAGTACTCTGTCCAGTTACTGTCTATCATCACCACCTGCTGCACCACAGGTTGGTCAATGTTTGCAGCACCTGGTAGGATAATAACAGTACTATAGAACAATTAAACTTTTTCATACTTTTAAGTATGGTTATTACAATAACCTTTGTATTATATTGCATTAGTGATAAGCTCTGGAAGGTTCCCTGAGACTGGTGGTATATCATCAGGCCTGGACATCCCAAGTTTCCCGGCTCCTCGGGCCAACTCGAATGAGGCTGTCCCCGCTCCTGCCCCGAGACCTGTTCCACCTGTCACCTTCAACCAGCCCGCCCCTGCTCCACCACGTTCCCAACTGCCCCTGCCAACACAAATCCCATCATCCTTCGATAATCAAAGAGGAGGGGCATCAGAAGTGGTCCAACCAACGGCCCCGCCTCCACCTCCCAGAGGGCGCCGACCAACAGGTGGGAGGGACCGAGACAATGAGGTACCAAGTCCCCCACGGAGGAATGGCAACAGAAGGGAGAGACCTAGGGAGAGACCCAGGCAGCCAGATCCACCACCAAGAAAGCCAGTTCCACCACCAAGGAAGCCAGTTCCACCACCAAGGCAGCCAGTTCCACCACCAAGGCAGCCAGTTCCACCTCCACAGCCACCACCAGGGCCACCGCCAAGCCGGGAAGTGGATTCAGAGTATGAAGGATACCCAATTGTACCAGAAGTGAGCAGGGCCGAGCTCGGAGAAATCAAACCAATAGACTGCTCAGAGATATACGACTATGGACTTGAGGCCAGTGGCGTGTACTACATCTACCCCTCTACCCTAACCCAGCCAGAGAATGTGCCTGTATACTGTGACATGACTACCAATGGTGGTGGGTGGACTGTGTTCCAGAGAAGGCTGGATGGAAGGGAGAACTTCAACAGGAATTTCTCAGAATACATGAAAGGTTTTGGAAATCCAGTAGCAGAGTACTGGCTGGGAAACAACATCCTGCACCACATCTCCCATCAGGACGATTACGCACTCATGGTGGAGTTGGAAGACTGGGAGGGCAATGTTGTGCGCGCCAACTATGACCAGTTCACTGTTGGTGATGAAAGTCTCAAGTACAGACTTAACCTGGGAAGATACAGTGGCACTGCTGGTGACTCTCTCAGGGGTAAGAGAAACATAAAAGATCATACATATGTGCTACAAAATAATCTGGTATTACATGTACATGTAATTCCTTTTTGATTTACCATTGAATAGATATTTTATATCAATAGAATAAACCAGCTAACTAGATTCAGGACCTACCCTATAGGTTACCAGTATGTTGTTATTGCAAGAAGGCAAAAACAAGCCAATTTGCTCAATGATATTTAAAACAGCTCTTCAATCTGTTGCAGGCAACATGCTCAGTGGCAACAACAGAATGCCCTTCTCCACATATGATGCTGACAATGACAAGTCCAGAGCCAACTGTGCTAGCACTCACAAGGGAGGCTGGTGGTACAACCAGTGTGGGGACTCCAACCTGAACGGTGTGTACTACTCAGGCGGGGTGTACGGGGGAGAGGCTGACGGCATCTACTGGTACTCCTGGAAACAGGACACCTTCTACTCCCTCAAGAGGGTAGAGATGAAGATCAGACCAACTTACTTCTAAAATGCACTAGTCATGGGTTCAGCTAGCTTTCAACTAATTCATAGAGCAGAAATGATACACTAGTAGCCAGTGCCATTCTAATGAGAGATTGAGCTACTGTTTTAGAGACTATTTCAGAAACACTTGGACTATTTTAGAGACAAAGCAAAAATTAAAGGAAGGTGGTTACAGTAACATAAGTTCTTTATTTTCCCTCATAGTATCGTATACGTTGAGTATGGCAAGAAATACTAAGCATATATGTATGTCACACTCTGTTCTGCAACATAAATCCTTTCTCACTGAAGGGAATGTAATACCTGATAGATCTTTAGTTTAGGTATCTAATAGTCTTCTACCAAAGATCTACCACAGATATATATCTACATGACATCAGAAATTATGGAGGATACTTTCACAATTGTAACTGAAAAGGCTATGTTGTTAACATGAAGGTACTTTGTAATCATACGTATTGGATTTTCCGACAGATTAGTTACTATTGACATAC